CTTCAACAGTTATACCATGGATTCAGTGCAATGCAGAATGGGGGTACCTACTTTCGTTTTCAATCTAGTGGCTGAAATTAGAAAACTGACTCCTTCTCTTGACTAGAATCACATTCCAGGGACTAGAAATCCTAATGACCTGCCATCTTGTAGGTGCTCACCCAACAGCTTTTTGAGTCAATATGGTAGGAGGGGCCAGATTCGTTATATAAGCCTGAAGAACAATAGTTCTGGAAGCCTCCATACATTGACGAAGAGGAGGTTATTAGGGAGAAGAAAAGGAAAAGGGTAGTGGCTTTAGCAAATTCAGAAAGGGATATTGATTGGCATATTGCATATTTCAGTAAATTTGACAAAACAATAAGAATGATGGCATATTTACATCGGTTTGTGTATAATTGCAGAAGTCCCAGTTCTCGAAGAGGTGGTGAATTATCAGTGGACGAATTAAACAATTCAGAGCCATCCATTTTTACAATTACTTAAAAGGAAAGCTTTTCGACTCTCGATGATGATAAAATCATAAGCTTGAAGCCATTTCGTGATGATCAACAGATAATGAGACTGATGTCAAGAGCTTCCAATAGACCAGACACAAATAAATATCGCTGCCCAATCCTTTTGCCTTCGCCGAAACATTCTGTCATTGAAAATTTGATATTAGATGTGCATAAGAAGTCGTGTCATGTGGTCACCCAGGGAATATTATGTATATTACGAGAAAAGTACTGGATCTTGGGAGGAAGGCGAGCAATTAGAACGGTTCTCCGAAAATGTGTAATTTGCCGGAGGCTTAAATTGCAACGGTTCTCAGTGAAGCCACCACCCTTACCAGAAGATAGGGTGTGTAATTCGGCGGCTTTTGAGACAACAGGCGTAGACTTCGCCAATGTTTTTGAAAAATGGAGAAGAGGTTTGGACTTGTCTGTTCACGTGTGCAATATATCGTGCCATCATAGGTACGTCATTTGTCGACATTGCATTTTTTACAAGTTTTGCGTAGATTCGTTCCGAGGCGTGGGAGACCCAAGATCCTCTACCACGATAACGGAACTAATTTTAGAGGTGCTGATAACGCTTTCCCGACTCTGGACTGGGATAAAATTACTCGTGAAACGACAATCCAGCGAATCTTGCGGCGGTTCAATCCCCCTAGTGCGTCGGGAGGCTTTTTTGAACGATAGATTGGCATGGTAAAGCAGTTGCTAAGAAGAGTTCTTGGAAGGGCGTTCTTGGATTATGAACAGTTAATTGTTGCTCAAAAATTAACCCTCAAACTGAGTATGCCAGAACAAAAAAATCACATATTCAATTGTCTTTATATTAAAATTGTTCATAATTTTCAAGCCTATCAACACACCGAGTTGCATATTTCTATCTCGAGCCGTAAAGAAATGCCGCCGTGGGTAGTAGTTTCATTGTCACCCGGTATATCGAACTTTGCACGGTGCCAAATTCTATATATATAATATTTTTTCAAGTTTTTTAAATATTGAATTTTGCATGGGGCCAAATTCAATATATTTATTTTTTCAAAGTTATTTTATATATATCGAACTTTGCATGCTGCTAAATTCGATATAAATATTATTTTTTATTTTAAATATATGCAAAATAGTGGTCACTTTTATCTATATATTGTTTTTCCTGCAAAATATTTTACATATAAGACGAAATAATTATGGAACATATGGCGCCCCATACAGTACACCCATTGTAATAATTAAGGCAGTAAAACGACGTGGAAATGTATCAAGTTAAATATAAGAAATATTATTAATAAAAGTTTAAAAAAAAAAAATTATAAGAAACGTTAATAAATGAACGGGTTCATCACCCCCTTGTGGTCCTGTCTGCAGTCTAAAACATCCATATACATTACTGTTTCCCGACAGCCTCACAGCCCTGATAACAGACCCCGTCAACTTCTATTGACTTCCCTTCTTAAAAATGGTATGTTTCTGTTTCAAGTTCAGTATTTTGGGTACTCTAACCGCAACTTTGAGACTAGCAAACCGTCAAAAAGGAAGAACCCAATGGTAAGGTAAACTGTAAAACCTAAAAAACCCGGAAAGAGGATAAATTCTTAGAACTTTATACTTATAATATAAATTAATGCATATATTATAAAATTAATATAGAAAAATTCCCTGAAACCCGTAAGTTTCCTTTTGAAAATAATTCCCCTTAAATAATTAGCCCATTAATGTCCCTTTTGGAAGTGAAAATGAGTTTTTTTTTTACTGCCAAATGGCCCCTCGTGGAGGTCAAATTGCCTTTTTTTTATAGAATTCCAAATATTTACAAAAATTACTGATATACTAATCTAAATAAATATTGATAACGAAAAAGGTAAATTCAGAAAGATAAAAACGTTTAAATTTACCTGAATACTGTTTGGGCTAGTTGAACAAAACGTGCTCTCTTTTCGCATCGACAACTCAACAAAATGGCGTAGACCTTCGTCTCCAGAAGATTCCGAGGGGTTTGCTTACAAATACGGGGACTTACGACCAAAACCAAGTTTCACCTCAAAACTAATTAAGCCAGCAACCACTTGAGTTTCCAAAGCCTCCAAAATCCCACAAAAGGTGGATGTTCCAAGGAATTTAGCAAAGAGGACCGCTGGTAAAATCTGCCACTTGTTGTTTGGTCAACGTGCGAATTTGAAAAGAACGACCTTATTTTCAGCAATCTATTAGGTGAGCTCCTATGAAAAATTCCCCGGAATTCTATTATTTTTTTCCAAGATGCCCTCTGGTGCCAGATTTCCGGTCTTGACCAGGAAATCGAAACAATCAGCTTGAAGCGGAACAACCCAAAACACATTGATGACGAACAAAACTCAAAGTTGTTATCAAATTTCCTCCCCTAACACCAATTAACACTAATTAATTACTTATTAATCAACATCTACCCAGTCTTTAGTACAAAAACTATCAAAATGACCAGTCGTTCAGTGGTCACAACTACAGTGACTCTATTACCCATAGTGGTCAAGAAACCTCGACAACAGCGCTGCCTGGAACGAAACAACAAATGTTCCATAACCACACTTATTCGGCGAAAGTGAATAACCGGGAAAATGTGAAAAATAGTGGAAATAAGGGTGGAAAAGCGATTTAAAGGCTGTGAAAGTGATGTGTGATGTTGCAGAATTTTTAATAATGAAAAATACGTGACTTGTAAATGTTGCCAATTGATATTTATTTGGAAGTAAACAAACCTTTTCATCGACATTTAGGGCCTTTAAGACAACTTTCGTAAGCTAAATAAAATAGATTTCGATCCTAACAGTAGGGCTTTATTGTTCTAAAACTACCCTGTCATCGGAATACAAAGAATTTACTCATTATTACCTCGAAAAATATACCCTTGTTCAACAACTAGATATTGTTTCGCATCCAATCGAAGAGGTAGAAATCTAGTAAAATCCAATAAAAAACCTATCAATCACTGAAAAATATTAATCCTCAGGTATAAAGCTTCATAAATACTCTCACCAATACCTGAATTAATTGAATTAATTACCGAATTCATTCGAAATCTTCAGTTACGTATTAAGGCAAAATTTGAACGTAACACTTTAATATGTGATTGCGACCCGGTAATAAACAGTCGACCAATGACTTATCTTTCGAGTGACCCAGAAGACTGTTCTCCCCTTATCCCAGCTAGTTTTTTGCGTGAAGACGCTGACGTGGAAGTGCTCGATTGTGACGAAGTCGAGATGAAGTTTCTCTCCCAACGTATGCGCTATATACAAACTTTACGAGAAACTTTGAAACAGAGGTCCAGAATAGAATAGGTACCTTGGGCAACTATCGTCCAGAGAACAAAAACCGAGCGCCATGGTAAAATTAGGGCAAGTTGCTCTAGTGGGAAATAACTGCTCTAAAAGGTCAGAATGGCTGATGGCCTGAACTCAAAGGATATATACCAGACAAGAAAATCTTTCTTGTAAAACTACCTTAAGGGATTCTTTTCGACTCCTAAAAAAAGAAGCCCATCAGAATTGAGCAAGTAATTGTCTTTCAATCTGATCTAGCTGAATTTCAATAGGCCTCTGGATTTAGGTCAAAATCTACTCTAGCAAGTTTCATTGAAAAACCTTGTTATAGGCCCCTATGGCATAAAGAAAATATAACCGACAGCCACTCTTAAGTTATCATGTCCGACTCATAATATACGCTCAAAAAATGATCCATAAATTGTATACCTACGCCCTGGGTCACTCTCTTAAAGTCAGAGTTATAATATGTTAGTGACTTGAAGCCAGATTTAATTGATCGTAAAATTTAGCGTTATTAACGTTCGTTATTTATATAAGCGAAATTTTGTGATCGAACTAAGTGAAATTATTTTACCCGATACCGACCGGCGGCTTGCCTCGCTTCCCAAAGTAGGTTACCGCACCTTACTTGGTCACGCTTGTTCTGCATTCGTTTAAAATTTTAAAATCCACGGTACTGTTTAACAGATCTTGCAAAATTTTCAAAGCGGGGCCCTTTTGAAATCACTTTTTGCTTTATCACCACTGTCTGAAAAGATAAAAAAGGTTATTTAAGTAAACTCGGATTTCAATAATTAAGATTCCAATGCAGGTTTTTTTTTTTCTCAAAAGGCAAGGATGCAAGAATTACAAGAGAAGATCTTATCGGTATTTTCGCAATTCTTTAATTTGTGCTTAAGAGTGTTTTCACGAAATGGAAAGGACATTTTATAGGTATTACATTAGTGGTAAAATACCGACACTAACCCGTAATGGGAAAATATACTTACAACAATTAGTGGACTTTATGTTAAATGCATTTTTATTGCATGTAATGATACTTACATGCCAGTGTCTATATTAAACGGATAATTTAACATTATTTTTAACGCTGAAGTGGATTCTTGTAATATTTTTAATTGTCCTCTTCAATAAAGTACTTAATTCGAAATAAGTATATAACACTCAGTATATTGAACATTATATAATTATCTGAAACTGCACTGAGATATCCGAAGAATTGAGAAGAAGCCAAAATGTCGAGGCTTTGGAAGAGAAAACAGATGGCAGTTTGAGACTCATTGAAGAATCAATCCAATCTGTGAAAGAAATTCTACAACAACGTAAGCAATCTCTTTTAGTAGATTCACTAGTTTTAAATTTGAAAGAAGATGCAGAATCAGAACCTAATAAATCAGATACATTAACTGATAGATTTCCTAGGAGTACTCGAGTAAACTGTTCTGCGTCACTTAAGAACAGAAACTAATTATAGACCTGGATGAAGCTAATATTTTGATGACAAAAATGGTCAATTACGGTTCTTCTCAAAATGTTTATTATAAATACTCATTTACCCAATATAGCACTACATAAATTAAATTTAAAGTCATTCATGACAACTTTCTACCAATTAACCATTGGCAAAAAAAAATAACGAAAATATCTCGCTTACTCAATAAACGATTCCCATAAGCCACGCCGTTGACCATTTTCAACGTCTTAATGAATCATTATGTTCCACTATTATTTTTATTTGGTCGAAGACCCTGAAAATTGTCTGTTACATATTGTATCCGGCCGAGGAGGCAGAGTCTTGATCACGAGCCCACGGTTCTTAAATTGGAGAAGGAAGTCCTACGTACAACACGTAGTGACAATAATGGGATGAGGTAATGGTAATAATTTCGAATGACCTGATTTACATTTTGTAAGGCAGAAATTAATGAATGAAATTTATGGTCTAACTGCAACGAAATTTAAATGTTGATGAATTTATGTTTGATTTGATAGTGATGGCCAGCTTTTTGCGAGAAAGTGACGCAAAGGGCACAAAAGTTCTATATCAAACATATATGTAGGTCTGATTGTGGCACCCTGTAGCTAACATAGAAAAATAAATTAGTATACGTATTAATGATAGTACCTGATAGCAAATATTTAGCAGAATACAAAAATCTTGGAAAAAAAATGAGTGGTTTAAACTTGATGAGAGCTATTTAGCTCACTGCCTTCTCTTGCTCATAAAATTGTTCATGATGATTATCTGAGTACTTGGTTGATACATTTGTTTCCAGTGCTACTGAATACAGAAAACAAAAATACTTTAGTCTCTTAGTCTTCCTGCTCCAAGGCACAAAACTCCTAAATTCCAGAATTTTATCACTTTCTAGTTATCCTGGATGATGTCACTTCCACAACCTGGTACATCCATTCTCAAGTAAAATGTGCATCAACAAATTTAGTTAGTTAGAAAAGTTATTTAAATTAAGCGTTTTCGAAAGGTTTATTTTCGAAATAGCAGCATTCGTAAAAAAATCCAAATTTGCATTTTCGAAAATCGAACATACATAGAGGACTGATAAAAATTGCAAACTTATCCAAACTAACCAGGTTATAATTATTGTTGTTGGTAATGTCAGACTAAAGTTGCAAAATAACCCAAAATAACCGGGTTATTATCGGTAAGTTTGGAAATGATTAATTAAAATTGCAAAGTAACTCAAACTTACCGGGTTATTATCGGTAAGTTTGGTAATGTCTTCTTAAAACTTCCAACTAATACAAACTAACTAGGTCATTATCAGTAAGTTTGGTAATGTCTTTTAAAAACTGCAAACTAACTGGTTTATTATTCGTGAGTTTGGTGATGTCTGATTAAAATTGCAAGTAACCCAAACTAACCGGGTTATTATTGGTATGCCTTTAAAATCACAAACTTACTTAAACCAACCGGGTTATTATCGGTAAGTTTGTATGTCTGATTGAAATTTCAAACTAACCGGGTTATTATTAGTGAGTTTATAAATAGCTGAATAAAATTACATAGGTACTAACCCAAACTAACTAGGTTATTATCGGTAAGTTTGGGAATGTTTGAATAAAATTGCAAACTAACTGGGTTATCATCAGTAAGTTTTGTGATATCTGATTAAAACTGCAAGCTAGCCCTAACTATTAACTAAATTCACAGAAAAAGTGTAAACTTACAGAAAAGGGTAAATTTACAGAAAAAATGAAGATTTACATAAAAATATTTTTCAATACTAGCATGGCAGCTCTACGCTTTCGTAGTTTCTTCTAATCTTTTAATTCTTTTTTGCTCATCATCATCATCATTACCAACATTGCATTTATTTAGCAAGTCAATTCACTATGAAACTATGTATTTTGGAACTCATTATGTTTCAATGTATCATTATCCAGTTCCCTCAACTTAACATAGGTGATTCTGAATTCAGCATTGGGATCCACTCAAAATAAAGCTAAATACGTTGTAGTAAGAACTAGGTTTCTGCAACAACCTCTTCCTGAAATTCGCAGAAGAATCATGCTATTAACCTCGGCTGTCAAAAATATTCAAAGCAGTTCCCATGTAATTTTATTAGTGGATTTTGAAGAGGGCGTAAAAATGAAAGTGTTGTGGACTGACCTTGATATTAACAACTACTATCAATGGTACCCATTCTCTGGACAGGATTGGATTAAACATCTATTATACAAAACCTGTAGGTATTATGGGATTAACATTTGAAATAATAGGTTTTATCCCATTATTTTTTTTCTACCGCACCTCACCTACTTGTTTCATTAAGCTTGTCTACTCTATTTATTGTTTGCAACGTTCGATCATTTCACCTTGATCGCCATGGCCAATATTATTATGAGTTTTATAGATAAGATTAGGATTGAAAATGTCCCACATTATTTTAATCCTTTTCTGTAATGAATGAATTTGTCAATATATTATTTTTAAATGATGATACTTTGAGGGACAAGTAGGTGCCTATACTCTTTTCTGATGGTTTGTTTGCTAACAAAATCTGATGTTACCTGAACCAGAATAGTTATTTTCCTAACAAGGGCAATCAAAAATTTTTCCTACGAGCGAGCGAAAAAATTAATCTTTCTGACGCGTGCGAAAAATATCTCTTTCCGCATGCTAATACGAAATAGAAGTTTTCCTAACAAGTGCGCAAAGTGATACTTTCCCGCACGAAAAATAAGTTAGATGAACGACGCGAAGCGGAGTTCGGATGAGCTTTGAGTGCGGGAAAGACACTTTGCGCAAGTGTTAGGAAGAATACTTTTTCTACGAGTGTTCGAAGATTTGCATAGCATCCAGAGGGGAGCTGCACCTAATCTTCTTACATGTTTCCAGATGCTCAAAACTAGTAATTTTTTCTCCTAGTTCAATGTGTTGTGTTTTCAATTTCTTTTTTCAGTGATCAGCTTGACTTTATTTGCAGCATTGGTCGTGTTAGCAAGGTTTACTAAATATTTGAACAAGTCGTTAAGTTTATTTTTCCTGCAAAGCAAAATCGAGACTTAATTTATAGACCGTGAGATAGGGCCTGTTTAGTGGAGTCATTTTTTTTTGTCTGGCATTTTGAGGGATGAATGTGGCTAGTTAGCTGATGAGAATATAGCTGGTTTTAGTGCTTGCCACCTGTTCGAAATTTTGCAGAAGAAAAAAATTGATTTACATGAGGAATTTTTTTTTAATGATCTCAATTTTTTTGGCTTCTAAATAAAAGATTGACATTGATAAATAATTCACCCATAAAAAATACTAGATGCTTTTCAATACCTGAAAAAGTGGGGATGAGTGTCAACTTTCAACTGAAAAGAAAAGAACCTTCCGCGTTTACTTTTTGTCTGGTAATCGAGAGAATGAAAGATTTTGTTGTGTAAATATCGCTGAAAAATCGCCAGACGGTAATCCCAGCTCGAAGTCGAGTTTTCCGGCGAAACATTCTGTTGACATTTCGAACAGGTGCCAAGCACTAAAACCACCTATATTCTCATCAGCTAACTAGCCACATTCATCCCTCAAAATGCCAGACAAAAAAAAATGACTCCACTAAACAGGCCCTATCTCACGGTCTATTACCAGGATGATATTTTTTCATGTGACTTGTTAAATTAGTTTCACGTAGCCACAAGTACAGCATCTTCCCAAAATATGTTATCCATTTTTGCTTGCATTATCACAGATCTTGCTTTGTCTAATATTGGTGTCTGATTCATTGTTCCGCAGCACCATTAAGTTGGGGAGTATATAGAGGAGTATAACTTATAGTCCAACTTTTATAATCTGATACTCTAGAGGAATGTGAGTTGGTGACTTCCCATGCCAACGGTCACCTGACCTCACATCTATTTTTGCAGGGTTTTTCTTCCCCTCGCTTCTTATACGGAAAATGTCAATTTAAAAAAGCTTAAAATTACCTGAATGCCCTTCTTGGAAACATCTGGCACTTCTTTCTGAATATAAGTTCATCCAGAAAAATGCGGTAACTATGCGTAATAAAAATGAGTCCACAAAGAGTTTCCGTGCGTTCAACTTTGCGCACGCAAATGAGTGTGCAAAGTAATAACTTTGCGCACGCAAGTAGAAAATAGTTATTTTTGTATCTAGTGCGCGAAATGCCATTTTGGTGAACGAGAACGCAAGTTTTTTGACGACGCGCAGCGGAGTCAAAAAATCGTTCGAGTTCACCAAAAACATTTCGCACACGAGTTGCAAACAACGGTTTTTCTACAGACAGAATTGAAATATTTTTGGTTCATATCAAAATCAAATAATTCAAGGAAATTCTATTTCAGAACAGCCTGTTAAATGGTTGCTACGGAATTTTTTTTAAATAAATAATGACACACCATGCACCATGACATACTGCTTGTCAAAGTTTTTTCCTAAGGTCTGACCGACGCGGCATCATTTCGGCAAAAAATGTTAATTAGAAATAGAAATTGTAGAAGAATTTGTAGTTCCCAATATAATAATACAGCTAGTTTTGCAATTGCAGCAAACCTTTTGACTGAAAAATCAAAAAATGATGTTCGCACCAAACCGTCAAAAAAGTGAGTAAAACCGTAATTCTAATGTATTTCGAGGATGAATCGATAAAGTTCAATATCCTGCTCTTATTCAATTTAAGTGGATAGGTACCCCAGAAAATATGATTTAAATTTTCGGCCATTTATGTATTTTTGAAATATCGCCACTGAGCGTGCACGAAGTATTTCGTGCCCTAGTGCGCGAAATATTTCGTGCACGTCGTTAAGGTAAATAAAACCAATGTGGCATTTTTCGAACGGAAATGAGTGTGAAAATGTCATCATTTTTTGACGTCTGTAGAAAAAAATAATTTATCTTTTGTAACAGGCTTCAACCTTCAACTCACAGGGGTTTTAAGCCCAAGGGTATACAGACGATGTAGCGATACT